ATCTGAATTTAACTAGACTTGACATAACACATGCAGTGCAACAGCTTAGCCAATTTATGCAAAGACCTTGTGAGCAACACTACAAAGCAGCATTGCATGTCTTGAAATACTTGAAAGGTACTCCTTCAAAAGGCTTGTTCTTCCCTGCAACCAATGATTTCAAGTTAACTGCATACTGTGATGCTGAGATGGGCACATGCACCACTGACCAGAAAATCAACAACTGGTATTGTTCTTTCTTGAAATGCTATTGATTCTCTTGGAAATCAAAGAAACAAAGCACTTATCAGCAGAAGTTTCTGCAGGAATCAGAGTATAGACTTTACATTACTGTTTTGTGAATTTAAATTATGCTTTTCATACATTTAAAAGAACCTCCAGATTCCATTAACTCTTCCCATACCCTTTATATTGTTTCCCATACCCTTATATTGTGATAACAGTACTGCTTTACACATTGCCCAAAATCCTGTTTTCCATGAGAGAATCAAACATATTGATATTGATTGCCATCTTATGAGGAATCAGTTACAAGCTGGATTTATCCTTCCTACTCACATAAACACTAAAAATCAAATAGCTGACATCCTCACTAAAACCCTCCATTCTCCTTTATTTAACCACATTCCCTCCAAGATGGGTTTGGCAGATTTCTCCCCAACTCCATCTTGAAGGGGGTGTGAAAAATATACCAACATCACTCATCTTTTTCTTCTTTCTAAATAACTACCTACCACCAATGCCAAATCATCCATTTTCCACTTTGCTTTGTCTTATTTCAGTTGATACAGCTCATCAATACCAGTACATGCTCTGTTAGCATCTTACTGGTTACAAATAAATTAAAACTAGCATTTTAGGAATTATTCTTGTATATTCTTTTCTTTTAATCCAAGGGTCAGAATAGTTTTTAGGTTTACTTGTATAGCTATCTCAGTAGTATATATAGCAAACTTATTGATGTAATTAAACAACTTTTCTGGAATACATGAGAAGTTCCTCATTTTGAGCCTCCATTAAATCCAAGCACTGATTTTTACAGAATCTGAAATTTAAGCACTGATTTTTACAGAATCTGAAATTTATCGATCCTTTTTTTTTTCCACAACGCAACCGTTCTCACCATACAGGAAGCAAAATGGCAATGTTGTGAAATCATTGCAATTCAAATATTCTCAGTTAAAGCTCTAAACGAAATGTCAAAAATCTAAAATAAAGTTATAAACCAGATCAAAATTATGCAAAACAAATGGATATAAAAGCAAAACAAATAGTTTTGTTTGTTTTCAAAGAGTGAGAGTGTAAATGTAGAAGAGAGAGGAGCTTCCATCAACCAAACTTGAAATTGAGTCCCGTTAAGTTCACGATTGAGTCAGTGGGTGAGTTGAGCAAGTCGTGGCTGCTCTGGCTAGTTCTCCACCGAATTCACACCGTCAATGTGTCTCTTCACTGCAATCTCAGATACGCCTCTAGTCCCTCCGACCAGCGAATTGATTCTCTTTCGTCAAACTTGATTCTTCAAAATAAAAAACCAAAATTTATTCTCTCTCCTAAACTTGATTTTCCAAATCAAAACCCAAAATTTTTATTATTTGTTGAATTGTTATTTACCCGGAAAAAGAATTTTACAAATCCTATCAAGTACAACTGTGGCAGCATACTGAAACACGTAAGTGAATCGAACCATACATTGAAATGTGAAAAACTAATTATTATGGTTTAGAGAGTCAGGAGAACTCTAAGGTTAAGTGTGGTTGTTTAAGGGAAATCCTAGAATGTGTGACTTTCTGGGAAGTTTCCAATTTTACTTACGGAATAAAATCGTGTGGATCTCCTCAATACAGGATAAAGTGGAATTGACTTGATCCGAAGCAGACAATTCCTCTCATAGTTGGAGCCAGAGTCTGACACGCTAACTACCAACTATCAGTTATCAGTAAACAGCTAAACCAAACAGACCCTTTATAAACCATCAACTTTTACAAAAACAAAAAAAATTTAACAAAATATTCCAAGGTATTATAAAACATTAACAATCAAAACTATTATTTTCTAAACCACAATATTTAAAAAAATAATAATCACTTTTTACGAAATATTAAAAATTATTACAGAATACTAGCAACCATAACTATTATTTTGTAATCCAACAATTTAATAAAAAAAAATCACTTTAAACAAATTATAAAAAAATTATTACAGAAATATTGATTACTGGAGTTATTATTTTGTGATCTAGCAATTTACAAAAAATAATCACACTTTTTACAAACTATTAAGAAGTATTACAAAATTTTAACAAGTATATATATTATTTTGTAAAATCAAGTCTCCCCAAACTTCAAGTTATCGTAAAAAATCCTTGAAAAATATATTTCATTAGGGAAACATATAATTATATGAAAATTAACACATGAGTAGTAGTTTCAAGAAGTAATTCTAACTTTTATCTCCCCATAACTTTCAAGAAGTAATTCTATATTTCGAATAAAGACCTTAACCTAAACTAATATGAGATAACACCCTGCCATTAGAAAGTGTCTTCTGACTTAAACCTACTATCAGTATATACGTTTCAAAATCTTATCGAAATTAGTGATTATATGATAGTGTATTAAACCATAATTCTTATGTTGATAAGATCGAAAATCTTTTACGCATAAATTTTATTAAAATTTTTAATTCTAATAACTGTGAGTTTTAGTACTGTATCATGTACTTGTGCTATTTCCCGAATTCATAAAATTTATTATAACTAACTATATATGTTGATAACAGTTACACTAATGTCGTCGTACCAGTGTCCGAATGCTGGAGGGATAATATAAAGTCATGGAGGGACAGTATTAAAGTTATTATTTTCCAGAGATTTAATTTTGAGATGGGCATGGGAGAATTAAATATTTTGTTAATGCATGAAGGCATCTTTGATTTTTTTTTTTTTTTTTTTTTTTTTTGTTATGCAATGAAGGCATCTCTTGATTTTCTTTTTTTTTTTTTTTTTTTTTTTTTTAATTGATAGCCGGATTGCTTTAATTTAGACTAAGGGACTAAATAACTTAATTTTTAGTTTGGAAAAACTAAATAATGTATTTTTAAAGGTTTTATTCAGCGATAGCTTTTGCGCCGGTGGCATAGTTTTTATAATAACTTTTAAAGGTTGGGGAGCTTTTTATGAAACATTAAATAATCTAAGTTATAGTGTTTTGCTTTTAATTACATTTTTTTGACAATCACACCTGTGGTTTTTTCCTTCGAATTCAGCTAATGTCATTTTTTTGTCATTTTAAGTTAAACTGTTATTTTTACTGAACGCGTTTAATTTAAATCACTATATAAACAGATAACAGCTACTACAACAATTTAACAACTACTGAAACACCTAATATTTGTTGAATAGACATGAAAGAATAACTGATTAATTCATTACTACCTCTGTTCCATAATACTTGTCATATTTGAAATTTCACGTTTTTTAAGAAAACCATTAAATTTGTCTAAATTACAATAAATTATTGAGTAAATTGACTATATTATACTTAATTTAATACTAATTCTTTAAAAAAATATTAAATTGAAGTAATAATTATTGGTCATACAGGCAAACGTGAAAAAAAGGAATTTATTACTCTTTAAAACCACCAATGTGACAAATATATTGGAATAAACTATTTTCTCAAATGTGACAAATATTATAGAACAAAGATAATAATAATTTACCATTAATGTTATTAGCATTGTAATTTGATTTGTTTATTTTTTTAGAAGAATTTGATTTGTTTATTTTCACTACCAGTCAAAAAAAAAAAAAAAAAAGAAAAAAGTCATTTGCTTAATAGAAAAAAAAAAAAAAAAAAAGTATTGCTAATAGGATTGGGTACAAAAATACAGTTGGCTGCATTTCTGGGTTAAGATTGGTTAAGCTATATGGCACGGACAGGTCCATGGTATATGTAAGCATAGAAACCAAAGATTGGATGAAAAGCAAGCACTGGTCAAATGCCTTGTCTGTAAGTCTTTATTTTGTAAAATATTTTGTATACTTAATTCCAATGTGCTGAATTGTTGATGTTCTGGTGAAATCAAATAAAACATGCAAATCATGTGCTAAATAATTAAAATAGGGAATCGGTAGTTGTAATTGAATAATAATTGTTGTCAGAATATACAATATAAAAATTATCATATTTGCAAAATAATAAAATATAATTTTAACTAGTTTAATCTTAATATTCGAAATATTTAAAAGAAATATAACTGTCTAATTTATTATATTATATACAAAACAAACACTTGACCACTAAGGCCCTGTTCGGTAATTTCAACAGTTCTAATAGATGTCAGCTGTTTTACTAGTTGTTAGATATTAACCGTTAGTGGTTAGTTATTTATATAGAGGTTTAAAATAAAAGTGTTCGGTAAGAATAAGTGGTTGATTAGTTGTTTAATATAAAAAGACAGAAAGAATATGGTCATAAAGAACAACACAAAGACAAGTGATGGATATAGATTTAATAAAAAATTTATAAAACGCTAAAGAGGATAATGTTTAATGATGTCTCAAACTCTAAATATTACGATATATGTAACATTACCGAATACAATAATTAATTAGAACAGTATTTTAACCCAATCAAAATACTAAACACTGCTACAAACGTCTTGTTGAACAGAGCCTAAGTTAATAGTATTGATAACTAATCTTTAATTTTCAAATTTAGGTGCAAGTGATCCAAATCTTAGGAGGTGTAACATTTCAAATGCTTAACAAAGAAAAAGAAATTAAAGAAGTGAAATTTATCTTGTCCAACATTAGAAATACAGGAAAGAAAGTTGGATTGGAAGATTAATTAGTTTCATCAAATTACTTTCTATACCTAACTTTCACTTTGGTTTCTTGTTTTGTTTTTGTCCGCTAATGTACTTTTTGGTATATATTGCTAGCTGCAGCTAACCTTCTAAAGTAGTAGTAATATTTGTATATATAGTTTATCACAGTTGCTTTTCTCTTTCTGCACAACATCTCATAAGTCATAACTATGGCAGCAGAAAGAGCAAAGAAGAACAGTTTGGAAAATTCAAGAAATGGGTTTTTAAGTGTAATTTGTTTGCAAATATTTATTGTTTTGGCTATTTCATATATTGCTTCTTCAAAGACAGTTGTGACTAATCTGCCTGGCTTTGATGGTGACCTTCCATTTTATCTTGAAACTGGGTGAGTTCCCACTTCTTATTACAGCTTTTTTTTTTTTTTTTTTTTTTTACAGCTTTTTTTTTTTTTTTTTTTTATACAATTTACACCTGCTTACACTATTTTTTTTTTTTTTTTTTTTTTATACAATTACACTTGCTTACACTAAAATACATAAACACACGTTTTGGCTGAGTTCAGCAACTAACTTTTAAATAATTTTTAACATTTTAATCAATTAAAACGCTAAATATTGTTTTTTATAGTTTTCGGTAACATAACGCATGAATTAGTTTTTAAAGATTAAAATAACGTTTTATAATAAATTAGCCCCAGTCATATCTATTTGAATTTTTAAAAAATCATTTGTAATCCAACCAACCATTTGAACATCCTTTATATTTTGCTTGAACATCGTTATCTTTTTAAATAAAGTTAAATATAAATAGTAGTGTAACCAATTTTTTTTCAAAAAAATATTATGTGTAGATATATTGGAGTTGGAGCATCCAATGAGTCACAGCTATTCTACTATTTTGTGGAGTCTCAAAGGAGTCCTACTTTAGACCCTCTGATGCTTTGGCTCACTGGTGGCCCTGGTTGCTCTGTTCTCTCTGCATTTTTCTATGAAAGTGGTAATTATTTAATTTATTAGTATATTATTAATTGATAGTTACAAAATTTAAACAATGATTAGTAGCTAAATTTTAAAAAAATGCAGGAAATTTTTTAAATTTTTTTAAAAAGCATTAGATTTTTTGTGAATAAGTAGCTAAAAAAAATATTTGTATTATCTACCTTCTCTGTCTTTTGCAGGTCCGGTAGCTTTTGATTATTCAAATTATAATGGAAGCTTGCCCTCTTTACACTTGAATCCCTTTGCATGGACACAGGTACATACAGCTTTTCCCCATTCTCTCATCTAATTTTTTTTAATTAAATATAACTAACTTAATTAAATGCCAATAATTATTATTTTTAGGGTATAAACATAATATATGTAGATGCACCAATTGGGACTGGATTCTCCTACTCAACTACCCAGGAAAATTACTATGTTGATGACATTAAGTCTGCAGCTCAGACCTATGAGTTTTTAAAAAAGGTAGGAGTATTTGATAATAATTAAATACTATTTGTATGATACAATTTTATTTTCAACAAATAATAATAATTAAAGGCATTTGCAGTGCCATATTTAGAGGCCTTTATAGGTCCAAAACTCATTTAGCCCAGCCCAAAAGATTATTGGGCTTGGGAATGAGGTTCTATCTCTAATCTTATTTATTGGAAAATAATTAATTAGATTGATGGTTGTTTTGCAGTGGTTACTTGACCATCCTCAGTACTTGACAAATCAACTATTCATTGGTGGAGATTCCTACTCAGGCATTCCCCTTCCAATGATTGTTCAACATATACTTGATGGTAATTACCAATTTCTTTTTTTTTTTTCTATATAAGAGCTAGTTTTATTAATCTCTTTTTTTTTTTTTTTTTTTTTTTTTTTCTTTTTCGTTTTTTTTTTTTTTTTCTAATTAGGTAATGAAGATGGAACATCTCCTACCAATGGAAATCTTAAAGTAAATTTCTTGTCATTCAAATTAACTTAATCATGATAGAGCAATTGATCATGTAATTTAATTATTAAGACATGATTTATTATTTTTTTTTTTTTTATCAGGATATGTGCTTGAAACCCAAAGACAGATTTCATTCATTGATGATATCAAGAGTTTTTTTTTTTTTTTTTTTTTTTTTTCTATTAGGTAATGAAGATGGAACATCTCCTACAATGAATCTTAAAGTAAATTTTCTTGTCATCAAATAACTTAATCATGATTAGAGCATTGATCATGTAATTTAATTATAAGCATGATTTATTATTTTTTTTTTTTTTATCAGGGATATGTGCTTGGGAACCCAAAGACAGATTCATTCATTGATGATAATTCAAGAGTACCATTTGTTCATAGATTGACACTCATATCAGATGAACTCTATGAGGTCACTCAATTACTCTTTTTTTTTTTTTTAAATTGCAATTATAACTTATTATCCCACTTTGTCAATTTAGTCCTTATACTTTGGTTGAATTTAATTGAACTCTTTAATTTTGTAAATTTAATAAACTATTGACCAACGACACAATTTTAAAATTTGTAAAGTTAAAAAACTTGAGAATGCATTGTCGTTTTATCAGACTACCAAAGAAGACTGCGCCGGAGATTATGTAAATATAAATGCAAGCAATACAGCATGTGTTTCAGACATCAACGCCATTGATGAGGTTAGATAAATATATCTCTATCTATGTATAATATATATATTTTTTTCAATTGGTTATATAGAGACGCACACACGGATTGGGAACCGGTCATGCACATAATATTAATTATTTAAGTATATAGTAACATATATTTTATTTATTTTTAGTTGATTCTTCAAATCAATCTGATGCAAGTTCTGGAACCTATTTGCCAAACTGCAAGTCCAAAGCCGACACAAGGTCTGAGACAAATTGAAGGAAGACGATCACTTTACCAGGACCATGAAAATACTTCCATTCCATCACTTAATAGTGCATATTGGTGTCGGGTAATTCTTTCTTTTCTTTTTCCTTTTTGTTTAAAGAAATAATTAAGCTTGGCGTAATGGTTAATTTACCTTTTTTTTTTTTTTCAGTAATAAGCACTGGTTTTTCTTTTCCTTTCTTTTTCTTTTTCAGGAGTATAACTATGTGCTTTCTGGTGTTTGGGCTAATGACAAGGCAGTTCGAGATGCTCTTCAAGTTCGAGAGGTATATATTTGGAAAAAAAAAAAATCATCCAAAGAATTTAAATTATTTAATAATTGAATTGAATTTTGGTATGTAAATTATTTTAAACAGACTATAAATTAATTCGACTCGACTTATTTAATCTTCACTGATATCAAGAGACAGAAGATTTTGCGACAACTTCTCTCCTTAGAATTTTTCAATCAAAGTTGTAATTTATTTATAAATAGAATATATAAAATTCCTAACTCGTTTAATTGCCATGTATAATGGTAAACAGAACACAACGAATGTTTGGAAAAGATGCAATGCAACCTTAGCATATACAAAGGATGTGTTAAGTACTGTTGATTATCATAGAAACCTCAGCAAACAAAGCCTCCGAGCTCTTATATATAGGTAATTAATGTCTTCTAATAAGATCTTAATCCTTAATTTTAATAATATTTAGAGAATAACGATAAATAATCTCACTAATCTCATTTCAAAATTTGTGCAGCGGAGATCATGACATGTCAGTAACCCACATTGGCACCCAAAACTGGATTCATTTACTGAACTTAACTACAAATGAATACTGGAGGCCTTGGTTTGTGGATGGCCAAGTTGCTGGGTAGGTTTCTTTTTATATCATTTTGTTTTATATTATTTCACTTTAGCTTGGAAATTATATGAGTAAAATCTAAATAACTCTTTTCTTATGGTGCAGTTACACAGAGAAATACTTAAATGGTGACTATACTTTAATATTCGCTACTGTGAAGGTGAGAAAAAAAAAAAATCTCTCAGATAGTAGAAAACAAGGTTTCCTTTTTTATTATTATGGATCTAGAGGAAGAATAAGTATTCGAGCAGTTTGATTTAAACTAGAACAAACTGAATAAATTAAATTTTTTTATGCGGAAAATCACAGCAAACCAGATTGTTGTACAACTATCTGGAATTTGGTTTGGTTTTTTAGATTTAAAATTAACTTTTGGGTTAAATTAGTTTAGTCTTCGAATTTAGGTTTTTAATTTTATATAATGAAAATTAAACGCCATAAAACAATTGATTTTTTCTATTATAACTGAAATCAGTTCAAATTTTATTAAAAATCAAATTGAATTGTACTGAACTTATGAGTTTTTTCGATTTGGTTGGTTTTACGAATTCCGTTCAACCCTATATGTATCTATGAATATTATTGGAAGTGCAAATTTGACAATAGATGTTTACTGTGATTTGGGCAGGGAGGAGGTCATGTTGCACCAGAGTACAAACCAAAGGAATGTTATTCTATGATTGATCGTTTTCTTGCCTACTTCCCTCTCTAAATAATGGGGAAAGGAAAAAGAGTTTGATGGGTTTTTGGAAGCATAATTTTGATTTATTAGTTGCTATTATTATGTGGACTGTGTACTCAGAATTCATAACTTAAAATGAGGTCTATTAGTGATTCATTGAACTAAGTAGTTTGATGGACCCTTTATATTAATTATTTGGATAAAATAAAATTATATAGTGCTTTTATTTTATAAATAATTTTAGAAATTAAAAGTATAAAAACCTTACACGTTTAATTCAATAATCAAAATCTGCTTTGTTCACAAAGAAAATACGTCTATAACGTTAAACATCTACACCCTGGTCTCCCCATAAATCCAAATTTACCTTGATAATGTTAACTGAAAAAATTTGATAAAACGGTACATCATTATGAACCTCTTCTTGAGATAAAAGGATGATTACAAGGTAAAATCAAATCCAAGAAAGAAAAGAACTATAATAACATTAATTTAAAAAACCTAAATTTAGTAAGAAATAAGGAAAATTAATATATAAATAAATTAGTATAAGTTTGTGCTTAAATATTACAGTTTGGCTCAAACAACACCAAAGACAATTAATTAATAAAACCAAACAATTCCATACATAAGTAAATGAAGCCCTAAATAAAAAATTTAGGACTTAGAATCGAATCCAACAATAACTTAATCAAAATGCCAAACTTGATGCTACACATCTCTTTTGAAACTTTAATTGTAGCTCTTGATTTTATAATTATTAGACCAATAAATAAATGCAATGGATCACTTGATATTCCTTCATTTCCATCAACATATGAGTGATAAACCGGCCACTTATTATCATGTGATATTAAAATAAAATAATTTATTTATGGATTTGATTATACGTAGAATAAAATTCATTGCTCGTGATAGTAGAAAAAATATTGAAATAAAATTGATTTTTAGACTAGCACATTATTAATTTTAGAATTGATTTTTCTATACCAGACAGATCCACTTATGGATCAAACAAATGAAAAAATAATTTTTTATTAAAAAATTAAGGTATTTTTAACAATTCGTTGAGAAAAAAATAGAGATAATTCATTGGGTTTATTTTTAAAAATCCCAAATAAATAGTTTTAATTGTATCCTAAATTCAACTTTCTTCTCTTAATACATTAAATTTTAATTTTAGTTATATAGTACCGTAATTTCAAATATACATATTTTCTCCAATTAAAATGTAAAAAAAAAAAAAATCTAACTAAGAAATTCAAAAGGATAAATGGAATATATTTTCGCTAATTAAAACGCATAGAAATATAACTAAAAGGATATTCAAAAGAATATATGGATATGTATTCTCCAATTAAAATGCATAAAAAATCTAACTAAAAGGATATATTAGGAATTTCAAATTAAACTAAGACTATTAGATTACATTAGATGTATTGAAGTGATGGAACACTTTGAATTTATTTAAGAAATAATTATGAATGTTAGGTTGAAGTAATAGAATAAATTTTTGGGATCACTTGAAAGAAAATCAAGTGTGAGTGTTGCTAACATGAATTGATTTAAAAATATTCTTTATGAGAAGGGAAAAAAAGTCAAATTAACAAACTACTTGTGTCATCAAACAAAACTCCACCTCCCAAAGTATCAACCAACCATTCTACTATCAACTCAAGTAGAGGGAGGGAGGGGTCAGAACGACCCCTTAGCCCAAATAAGTTTTTAAAATTTACCTTGAAAATGGTGAAAGTTTTTTAATTTTACCTCTTAAAATAATATTTTTTTAATTTCATCCCTTAATTTTTGAAAATTAGTTTTCAGTCTTCAACTATGGCTCCATGTGGAACAAAGTTTTCTTAAAATAATAATAATACTAATCCTTCAGTTCTCTTTATATAGAGAAACTTTCTAATTAGTAAGTTTCTTTTACACAGAGAACTTTACTCAAAATGAAAATTCTGGGAATGATGCCAGATGAAAAATCCAAAATGTCCTTATATTAGCTGTGTAATCTGTGTGCAGATTGTGCTCTGAATGATGAAAGTGACAGGCAAAAGAGGAAAGACATTTAATGCACTTAAGTTTCCAAAATCTGATTGGATAACTATTTTTCAATGTGTATTTTTAACAGTGTGCTCGGCTTTATGAATATGAGCACAAATATGAGCGACAATTTGTATAATTATTCAAAATATGACAACACTATTGGATGGTTGCACTATAGTTTTAAAAAACCTTTTTATATTGATATTACACCTTGTAAATATGTATACGAACTTTGTTAACTTCAAATTATTTAATGTAATATTATAATTTAACTGAGACTAATGAAAATTTCATGCTCATATTCTAAATAAGTCATATAAAATGACATTTGCGCAAATTGTAAATTAGTTATACCCTATTTGGATTTCCCTTCAGTGAAAGTAAATTAGTCGCACCCTATTTCTAGAGATGCACCACTTACAAACCGTTCTCTCAAATCTCCTCAAAACTCGTTTGTTAAATGCAATTACATGTTCATGTTATGTTCCAAATTTATATGAGTGCATATTATAGAAGTTGAGGAGACAGTGAGAATATACAAAATTGTGGCCCACATTTTTGTCATATTTGCGCGCATTTGATTGAAATTGCTCAAGACTTTAGAAAATAAGAGAAATTCAAAATTTTAAACAAGGAATTTTAATTTGGAAGGTTTGAAAAAACATTAATTAACGCTATTAGCTCACAATTTCCTCCATTTTCGACTGAAATTCTGTAATTAATGATTCTTTGGAGTCTATCTGCATGAGTTGATTCTCTATCAGTTAGAGCTCATTTAATGTTGTTTAGGGGTAAAATATGCATAAATTGAGAAACTATTCGTTTAAATTACCATTTTAATTTCCATGCAAATTCAATTATCTCTATGTAAAGAGAATAGAGAGTAATAGATTCTAAACAAGTAAGTTTTTTAATTGCAATGGAGAGATTAACCCAAATGATTAAATTACATATTTAAACCAAATGGCTCCAACTTTGTCCGTCAAGCACTCAAGGAGGTTGCTCAAGCACATACAATTCCTACTTCCTGCTGCATGCATATGAAGTGCCATGTTAGCTAAAATATCACTGCTTGATTAGCTTTCCACAAACCATTATCTATTAATTTGATTGAATGTAATTTTTTTTTGTCAGAGATACTACAGTAAAATTCTATATATTATAATAATGCAATTAAATAGACTTCAAACTCATTAATTTTTTTTTCTTCATCAAAATACAAGAATCAAGCATGGAGATTGGGAAAAATCTATATTTTTATGTTTCCATTATGGAGTTTGTGATGTTTTCATTTTATTACAATAATTTTATTTTATGTGTAATCTTCAAGAGAAATTTTGGTTACTATGTGACGGTGGAAGATATCAAACTTGTTACCTTTTGATTGTGGGGGCATCACTCGGCCATATGGATAGGGGAAAATTTGCAATTTGAATGAAGTTGTTGCAAACCAGAAAAAGCAGTTAAACGTGCCTTTTGAAATTACCATACACATACAAACAATTTTGTGGACCTCTTAAAGCCAAACGCAGCCCAACTATTTGTATATATTCAATTCAACAACCCAAAAAGTACTCACACGCCACCACATGTCCATTTCTGCTTTCTTTATATATCCATTTTTGCTAAAAGCATCAAAAAGCAACTCTAATTCAATTCGTTCACGCTTTTCACTATCTCACAGAGGACACAAACCTACTATGTGTCTGACATTAGTACTTAAGATATTGATCTTGTTGAGACACATCACACTTTATTGGAAATATTTCTGCTTAAAGATCATGTAAATTTATTTTAAAATAAATTTTTATATAATAACCATAAAACTTACAAAATAATTTAAACATTTTTTTACATAACGTATGCTATTTTCGGAAAATTAATTTCAACATCAAACATATTATTGTATAAGTTTGGGATTAATTTGCCTAAATCAGATCTATAGTTCTATCTATAGACAAAATCAATGAAAATAAAAATTTTTATAAAAATGATGGCATTTCTGACCATACATTATAAAATTGAAATAATTTTTAAAAAATTCTTATTTTCACCCATTTGGTTCATTGGTGGAGTCATAACGCGGTCTAAACAAGTATTTTCCTATAAATTTTATGTTTCAAGGTTTAATGAGTGAATTAATTTAGATAATGGATGGCCATTATTATTGAGCCAAAAACTCTTTAACGAAAAGTTTTGTTTCATGTCATTACCACATAGCTTCAAAGGTTTTGTAGAAAATTTTGTATACCTTCGAAGTTTGCTTGAACTCTCCACAAAATGACAAATATACTTAATATACTTAAAAACTATAACTTATTTATATTAGAATCCAATAAAAGCTTGAAGTTTAAATTCACAATTCTTCAATATTAAACACCATTTCAAATAACCAATAAGAGGTTGGATAAGTGGAAGCAGACTATATTTTTGGATTAACTTTATTAACATAGTCAGAAATTTCAAACTTGGAGTCACTCCTATTGAGAGCGCTTTATCGGAATACTATTTGGCTCGAGTATAGGAATATATACAATGAAAAAAGAAAACAAAAAATAGAACATTGCAAATAATCCTAATCTTTTTGCTTTAATGATTGGATTCTTTTTTCATGTTTGGTATGCTCTAATGGTTTCATGACAAGTAAAAAGACAATAGTTGTAGATCCTCGAATTTGTTGGGAATTACCTTGTGAAGGTAAAATGAAATTCAATATGGATGGTTCTGCAATAGAACAGTCAGGGCCTGCTGGGGTCGGTGGTGTCTTAAGAAATTATTTGGGATAGGTTGTTTGTGTTTTCTATAATTCAGTTGGTATTTTGGATTCAAATGAGCCAGAGCTCATTGCTATTTTCTTTGTTACAGAGCTTTATTGGTTTTCTGACTGTAAATCTTATCCTTTGATCATAGAATCTGACTCCTGAAATACTTTTTGTTGGATTCTTTTCAAAAACAAAAATAGCATTAGCATTGGCATTGATGGAAAAGATTCAACAAATTTAAGTACGTAATGTCTCAAATGAGTTAAGTAGAGTTAAAACATATTAACAGAACATTTAATCAGTTTCCAGATTGTTTGGCAAAGAAGGGGGTTGAGGTAGCAAATCAATTCCTTGCTTGAAATGATGACTATAAGAGTTTTCAACAAGCTTTTTTGCAAATTTCTTTGAAGTTTTATGTTGGTTC